AGGGCATGTAACAGCGTCTCATAAATCAACAGACATGCTCTTGAGCCAAAGTGAACACATGGACCATTAGAGACGAAGACAATCGCTTCTCCTGATGGGATGACCCTGAAATGGAAGTGAGTGCGAAAGAATACGAAAAACCGGACGATTTTTTCAGATGTTCGATGTGGTTGGTTAGATTTTGACCGACCGTTTTAACTTATTCCATGTTAGTGCGTTCCAGTGTTTTGAACTCAGAATTACTCAAAGTTCCAAAAAGGTGCCGATGTTATTACAGTACTAATACTATCGCCTTGAAATCCTACGATTTAAATGCATTATAGCGCCGGAAGTGCCGCATTGGGATAGCTTGCTTGATCTTCAACCAATTGAACTCTAGCTCAAACATTTGAAATCAGCACCTCTCGGACAATCTAAAAGTGTTTTCAAATTCTGGAACTCGCTTGTTCGGAATATCAACATCAGATTTCGGTAGGAAAAGCATGAAGAAAGTTACGCCAATTCGGCTTTTCCGACGCGACATGGCGTTGATATCGTCGTCTGTTTCGCTCGATAATGCAAAAAAGTACCAAGACAAGATCCTGCAAAGTTTGAGCGGATCCTTAAGTAGATAAAAAGACGCTGATTTCAAATATCTGATCAAAATTTTGAATGAAGAACTTTAAGCCGAGTTGCAGTGATGCGGCACTTTCAACGCGACATTCCGTTTAGATAGCCGTTGGCATGGGTCCAAAAAAGCTTGAAAGTAAGATTTTGAAGTTTTAGAAAGCTCTTCTTGGTAGTTCAGAAGACGCTGATTGCAAATAATTAAGCTGAGATTTCACATGTTTGGGTTGAAGAAAGTTAAGGGGGCGCGGCGATAAAAAGAAGGCAATGCGTTTATACCGCCGATGTTCCCAAAAAAGATCTTTGTAAATAAGATTTTGAAAATTTTGAAAACACTTTTAGATTGTGCGAGGGTGCTGATTTCAAATATTTGAGCTAGAGTTCAGTTGGTTGAGATCAAGCAAGCTATTCCAATGCGGCACTTCCGGCGCTACAATGCGTTTATATCGTAGGATTTCAAGGCGGCAGTGTTAGTACTGTACTGAAACTCTTGTATTGAATTTATATCTTTTATCATTGTAATTTAAGGGTGCCAATCAGGAGATACTTTTTAGTCAAGGGCCGGTCGTCCCAGATTAATAAAAACAAGTCGGTTTCTGCCACTTTTATGTTCATAAAACAGAGACAACCTCTGGACAACAATTTTTTGTCTGATACTCATATATGAAAAGTTTTTCATGGTATTAGACTGTGGTTGAAAAATGAATAAAAATTTATATAAATACTAACAAAAAGTCGGTTACCTGTTTGAAGTAAGAAATCCACATATTGCAATGGTGAGATCAGCAATAATAGTATTGACGATGAGCACGGAATAAGTGTGCATTTTCCGAGGTGTGTGTCTGCATACAATATAGAGTAGTACAGCGTTTGCACCAATTCCTAGCAGATTAATGACAGTATCGAAACAGTAGGAGATCAGATCAACCTTCATACGCATCTGAAACTTCATCGTGAAGGGAGTGAAGTGAGTGAGGGCTCGTAGAATCTGCGATGGAGAGATGACGTCGTGCTAATTAACAGCTTAGGTGTGGAAAAACTGGAATTTTTTGAGACAAATACGTTGGAAAAATGACGTCACGTCATAATTTGCGTACATTCGTGCATACAATCTTTTGAGGACAATGAGGACAATATCTGTTTGCCGTGTAAGATTATATAATTAGCTCACATTTTTGATTTGTGCGCTGCGTCGCCTGATTGTTATCGTTTTTGCTGTTTTTGATAGAAGAGTCGATAATCAACATAATTTATGTTTGCTCTTTGTGGTTTTAAATAGCGAATTGTTCTTCGGATTTACTGAGACTTTTTGGAAATTCCATTCCATTTGGGTTCCGATAGTCTTTTTGATAAAAGCAACGTCCATTCAATTTTGAGATCGGTATGATTTCAATGCTGTACAACAATAGCGAGGTTCCTAACTAAGTTATTACTTGAGTCTCGCTGCAAAATGGGTATTCCGAAGCGAGAAAATCGCATCAGAATGTTGATGACGCCAGGGTCGCCACGCCCATCGACGTGGGTGGTCTACACGCGGAACGCCTAGGTCAAAAATCCATCTTTCATTGTGAAAGACGGTTTTTGACTTTTCTTGACTTCTGATACTCTGGAGTAGGGTGTCCGACTGTACTTTCGGCAAAACCCACATTGGTGGGCGTGACGACCTCAGCAGCATCCACCTTCTGGTGCGATTTTCTCCCTTCGGAATTTATCTTTTGCAGTGGGACCTAGAGGCCCCTGGGCGACCACTTAATTAGGGTCCTCGCTACTACTGTATTAAAATCACACGTTTTGGAATGGATAGACGGGGTTTTTATGCTACAGATATAATGAATTTCTATGAATCATTTTTGTTCCCACGAAAGTATCTTGACATATCTTTCACTTGGTGTTGAACATCATAAGCGGCAATCCATTGTGGATTCCCAGTTATTTTCAGTACTTTCTTATTTTCCGTCCTATTACGCCAAGAGAACTCAGAAACGACATCTCAATAGACGCTGTTTATTATATTGCTAGGATTTTCATTGCAGTTTTGAGTTCAAACGAATCTCCGTCGGTATCATTTTGTGCAGAAATATCAAAGAGTGCTTTAGTACCCCAAAATCCCATACATAAGAGCGGTTTGATTTACCGGTGAAAAATGAATTGGAATGAAATTGAAATTGAATGCAGTCACCCCTCTAACTTGATGGATGGATAAATAAAAATCATAGAAGAAGTTTAGAAGAAGCTCCGCCCCTCAACTCTAAGCCCCGCCCACTTAATAAACAATTCATGTAGAAAAATAGCGATTTTAACGGAATTTCGGAATTTCTATATGAATTGTTTAATAAGTAGGCGGGGTTTAGAGTTGAGGGGCGGAGCTTCTTCTAAATTTCTTCTATGATTTTCATTTATCCATCCATCAAGTTAGAGGGGTGACTGCATTCAATTTCAATTTCATTCCAATTTATTTTTCACCGGTAAATTAAACCGCTCTTATTTATGGGATTCTAGGGTACTACCCTTAAGAACACTATATCTGCTGTTTTCACGGACTCGAAACTTTACTGATTGGCGTAAATGCAAAATTTGGGGGCGCAAAGAATATTTGCTTGTGATCGAGACAAGAGGACAGCTGTTATGTGCGTAAGCCAAGCGAATCTGATTTCGTCCTCATTCAGCTGGTTTTCCACCTCTTAGAGCAATCAATCACATGTAATAAATTCATTAATTAGTACATCAGATACACATCGCGTGCAAATTTAATGGTGGTGCTCAATAAAGGTTGCAGTGTTGTTCAATATAAATGCACTAGGAATTTGCCATGAGCGTTTGAGAATTATTTTTTTTTATCGTTTGAAACTGTAAAAGCTATTGTTAGGAGCATTTGCAAACATTTCCATTATTGGGCATCATCTATGAGGCTCTTTATTTTCTACGTGGGACAGAGGGGGGGAGGGAGGGTAGGGGGCGACAAAAACTTTTCGGCTGAGGGGCGGTAACCTGATTTCCAGGAAGTTGTTTCGAATGCTTTCTAAGCTTTCGCGAAGTGCGTAATTGCTACTATCTCAAGAAATTTTTATCGAGTGAATTTGTCTTTCTAAAAAATTCAAAAGATACTTTCAAAGTGAGAACAAGTCATTGAAACATTTTTATAACTGAGAAGCAGGTAAATCAAACTATATAGCATGATCATCAGATTAGACCACTGTGCAGAAAATTGAATTTTTCAATAATTGGTGAAAACATGCAGCATGCATGAATTTTTTTCATGGAAAAAGGAAGCGGTTGACGAATGTTTTGCATTGTATAGAAAAAAGTACTAAAAACACCGCCCTAAGCATTTGTGAATGATGTCCTGGATATTGTTCAATTTTGCTTGATGAAATTTTGTATCATGGATCGTTTTTGTTCCAATCTCTCAAATAACTTAGAATTCGGGAATGTGTTTGAAAATGGAGTTGATTGAGTGCTATATGCATAAGGAATGTGGGAAACGCTTGACTTCTTTCAGAGAAAGATTTTTTTTTTTGAATCGAAGTGGGAAGCAGTCGCTATCACAATAACTCATGGGCGGAATTTTTAGGGGTTTTTTTTTTGCTTCAGTTGTTGTGCAAAAAATATTCGAATCTCTAGAATAACCTAATAAAGTGTGAAAGGGAGAGAAGGCGAGAACAGAGATGAACCACATTTGTTGATCAATGCGTATTGTTTGCATCACTGCATAAATATCGCCGAATATGATCAGGCTAGTCGGCAACTACCCGTAGCACACATGTGTCGGATTTGCATACCATATTTGTTGATGTCATTGTTGTGCAGTAGGTTTGGAAAAAGTGATACCTTTTGCAATCTGTTCAGCAATGAAAAGAGAAGAAACTTTTTTGAAAAGTCAGATCATTTCATAGCGTATTGATCAGAAAATTATTGAATATAGGCCTTATCCTCTTCCATTTGTCACAGTGGTAATCTCCATATTATATTGATAAAGTGTCAATTCGAACTCGCTATACAAAATCGTTGCACGTCATGTATATAGCCGATTCATCGCACGCAAAGATTGGACGCGGGCGTCCAGTCAAGATAGTTCGTGTTTGGGAGAGACGCAGACAATCAGAGGAATGTGACGAGAGACGCCGAGAGCGTCCATTGGCGTGCTTCTCTGCGTGTAATGAATCGCCTACACAGATGCTCACTAGTCATTCTCTAATTTTTTCATTCTACCCCTTTGAAAAAAAATTTTTTTTAACGGACCGCCTTGAGCGTGCGTACGCGTAGCGAAAGTGGAAATCAAGAGGAAGAATTAGGGAGTATGGAAACATTGCTGATTTTTCTGTATTTTATGTAGTTGAGGATTTCTGTCTGCTTTAGGATATTAGAAAAATTTGTTATGAAATCTGCTGTTATAGGTACAAATGTTGACGAAGCTCGACGCATTCTGAAGGAGTCTGGTCTACCAATCATCAGCGCAGGTGATCTGAATGATGCTGCTGAGAAAGCAGTTGCTGCTCTAAAATAGTGAATTTACTTGCCTCTAGACCGATCGATACTGACAAATTCATAAACTTTCCTTAGTTTCCTCATTTTTCAAATCTTTCTAAGTTATATAGTGCCACTGTGTTCTGCCATTTGTGTGTTTTCCGATGAATATTGATGATCTTGCAAAATTTCTCAATTTCTATGAGTTTAATCCCAGTTGTCATTCATAATTCTTCCCGTGCCTTGGTCACATTCTAGTAAATTGTTAATTCGATCGAGATCTATTATACTCGAGCTTATTATCGTTTTCAAAGTTTGTTAGATTCAGTATCTCTTTTAGTGTCAATAAATATTTAATTTGAACATCATGTGAAGTTGAGAATGTCGTAGTTAATGAAACAACCACACGCTAAGTAAATCAATTTTTTGTAATTTTATTATCAGGAAATGCTCCAGCGAAGCAATCACGCGCGAACAAAATAATGTCAAATTTGATTGTATCTTATCGAACCGCGATACAGAAAAGCAGGAAATTGTTTCTAGTAACTTGCACAGAAATCGGAACTATTCTTTGTTTTAGCGGGATTGACGGCTGCCAGGCGACCGCTCGCGCCTGCAACGCAGTCTGCATCTTTCTCGTAGGCTGCTCTCGGATCATCCTCTATTCTTGACTAGCGTCGAAACCCCGCCTTCCACCCGTCAATCTCGTTGAATCAGACTACCAAATGAATCAAAGGTAGCGATTTAGTGTTCCTCCCTCTCCATATACAAAATATTTATTTATTTATAAATTTATTTATTTATTTATTTATCTATTTATAATACACTTGAAGTGTGCCAAAAAGAAAGAACTCAAAATGCGGTACCAGTTAGTCTCAAAACTCAGGCAGATAAAAATGTCATGGATGAAAACATTTACAAATCAAAATTGTAGATTACATTAAAAATATTTAAACATTCATAAGGAGAACTTGATTTATTCTGGAGCACTACAAATATAAAACACAGCTTTCAGATTGCTTTTCGGAAACTGCCTTTGGAGCATGTAAAAATATGTAAGTAATATTTTCATAGTAAAACCCCTCACTATTTGCGAGTAGCCCCAAGCCTGCCCATTTCCGCATGTATATTGAGGGAGGTCTGTTTTATTAGGTTGTCTCGTAAGTCTTGGAATTTTAAACTCTCTTCTTCAATAAGTTACACACTTCTCAATTTTCAATTAGAGTGTAGGGTACCATTTGGTAGAGTAAACAAATTCTAGTATACGGAAAGATATGTAAACGTTCGAGCTAGCTTCAGTACACATTAGATTTAAAGCTAAAGACTAAACACTTGTGGATGTCCGGAAAAATGAGAAAATTACAGGGTGTCAAAGTAAGTACATATTTTTTGAATGTAAATAATTCAGTCCTCACGAAGTCTTTTGCCTAGCTTCAAATACCATTCAGTAGAGCAGACTTCAACTTAGAAATGTAGTATGGAGCGAATCACCCATCGCTCTTCATTACTGTAGGATTACGGTAGGGACTTCGAAGAGGGTTTTGAACCATCAGAGGCTGCAATTTGCCTAAGAACTGACACTCGACAGGCTAAAAACTTTCTCATTGGGCTAAACTATGTCGCTGACTACGAATATATAGTTCGCACTTTATGGTAAGGTTTTGTTCAAAAGTTATGCGAAGAAAACCGTAATGACGTCATTTCACTGATTTCAAAAATGTGATTAAACTATTTAAAACGCTTCAGAAAGCCTAAACAGTTTCTTATGAGATCAGCATGACCAAATACACTGAAACACATCCAGATTTTTTAGAAGTTTTTTTGAACTGCCCATTTCATTATGGCGCTGTATGCTAGAAGTTAGAGCCTTGGACCAAAACTCACTGCGCGTATAAAAATTCTCGGACGAAAAAAATGCCCTCACGAAAGTCAGAGGAAGATATCTTGAAGGTCTTCCATATGTTTTTGAACAGGATTTTCTTTTCTATCGGATGAACACGAAAGTTTGCAATTTTAATGACTCCTGGAATCGTGAAATATTTTTCGCGCCACACTTCATGCGAACCACCCTTAATTGTGAATACAAAGCTTGGATGTACATAGTAAATTTCCAACTCTTTATAGGCTCAAGTTTCCAAAAAAATATTGATTGCAATATAAAAAACCAGAATAGGAAAGTTAAATTCTCAGAGAATATAAATGCATGAGCAGTCTACGATTAACATGATTTTCTGAATAAAGAAAAAATTACTCAATTTTTTGGGCAGCCAGCATCTCTTATTACTTCAAACTTATGGATTAAAGAAGTTGGTGCAAACGCTTCAAGCCCTTTTGTAAAGCTTGCTTTGCTCTCTTCAAACGATACTTGCATCCGAATTAGAAGCAAGAGTTCTTGACTTATAGTGGAAGAAAATCAAATTTGGATTTTTGAATCGACCTATTAGCTAGAAATTAAAGGATAATATGTGAGTATAATTGATGAGCAACAGATCTCACACATTTCGCTATATTTTTCCTTAAACTTCTTTCAAAAATTTATTTCAAAAATGAATGAGGAATATTTCGGTTTTTTAATGATTCTTAGTGTGTGGTTGGATTTCTTTTTCTTTTGTTCCGTAACCTGTTTATCTTCGATTACAACGAGAGAGATCCTACTATTCTACAGAAAGGGAGGCAAGAAAATTATTTTCAAATGTAGTTATCTTATATATAAAGCTGAATGCCTGTTTGTCTGTATGTCTGTATGTCTGTATGTCTGTATGTCTGTATGTCTGTATGTCTGTATGTACGTATGTTCCGAATAGAAAATTCCATTTCTGAACCGATCCGGACCAAACTTGGCACACATACACTACGGGCCCCGGCGGGTGTCATAGGCTACTTTTCGTCATCGATCGATATCGATTTTATCGATTTTTATCGATTTCTTTGCTGAGTTCACCTACGGGGCTGGGAGTTGGCACAGGGGGGTAATCGAGCATGGGGATTCCGAATACAATATTGGTTTTCAGGATTATCGATTACTTTTATCGATTTTATCGATTTTTTTGCAAAGTTTGAGCTACGGGGCTGGGAGTTGGCACAGGGGGGTAATCGAGCATGGGGATTCCGAATACAATATTGGTTTTCAGGATTATCGATTACTTTTATCGATTTTATCGATTTTTTTGCAAAGTTTGAGCTACGGGGCTGGGAGTTGGCACAGGGGGGTAGTCGAGCATGGGGATTCCGAATACAATATTGGTTTTCAGGATTATCGATTACTTTTATCGATTTTATCGATTTTTTTGCAAAGTTTGAGCTACGGGGCTGGGAGTTCGCACAGGGGGGTAATCGAGCATGGGGATTCCGAATACAATATTGGTTTTCGGGATTATCGATTACTTTTATCGATTTTATCGATTTTTTTGCAGAGTTTGAGCTAGGGGGCTGGGAGTTGGCACAGGGGGGTAATCGAGCATGCTGATCATTCCCAAGGGGGGTGATCAGCATGCTCGATTACACCCCTGTGCCAAATTCCAGCCCCCTAGCTCAAATTTTCAAAAAATCAATAAAATCGATAAAAGTAATGGACGATCTTGAAAACTAATATTGTATTCGTAATCTGCATGCTCGATTACCCACCTGTGCAAACTCCCAGCCCCGCAGGTCAAACTTTACAAAAAATCGATAAAATCGATAAAAGTAATGGACGATCCTGAAAACTAATATTGTGTTCGTAATCAGCATGCTCGATTACCCCCCTGTGCAAAATCCCAGCCTCGCATGTCAAAATTTACAAAAAATCGATAAAATCAATAAAAGTAATCGATAATTCTCAAAACTAATATTGTATTCGGAATCCCCATGCTCACTTCCCCCCCTGTGCCAACTCCTAGCCCTGTAGGTGAACTCTGCAAAAAAATCGATAAAAATCGGTAAAATCGACATCGATCGATAACGAAAAGTGGTCTGTGACACCCGCCGGGGCCCGAAGTGTATGTGTGCCAAGTTTGGTCCGGATACGGCGGAGCCGGGTAAGCCAGCTAGTCGATTATATAATTCTCTATTGGTGCGAAAATATTCTGCTTTCGAAATAATGCGTGTTTCAGAGAGGAGGGTGACAATGTCTTGTGTAGCTGATTTTAAAAAATTCCCTAGTTGATCAAAACTTTCTGTTTGATTAGAAATATGTACCAGAATGGCCTCGGCAATCTGTACAACAAAACAGATATAGATCCCCTTACTTTTCCGGGTTTTTTAAGGAAAAAACTGTTCGTTTTTTCTAACACTTTTATTTCCTGTACTTTAAAGATATAGGCAATGCTTATTTCCTTGTGCTTTAACAATAGGTCTTGTCTTATTTATCGTTTATTGTGCCTTTATACATATAAAACATAATGCGATTATCTACGGCCTCTTCCTCCGAAAGGTCCTTTTGGTCCACCAGGTCCACCCTTTCCACCGCGAAGGTCGGTGCAGGTCACCTAAATTTCTATCCCTTAGTTGAGTCATTTTTCTGCATAAATATTGAGACATCCTATGCTGCCTAAGATTGTAAAATTGACAAAAAATGTACAGACCTCGTATTGGCCTCGCTTTTGCACCTTCTCACAACGTTCCCATCCGTCCCGTTTATTGCAAACCTTGTCACAAACGTCTCCTCGGGTTGAGAGGGGTACTGTAAAAAGTAATTGAGTTGATGGCTTTTTCTATCACGTCATTTGAACGTTCCCTGGAACTCCCTCCTTGCTGAGGAGTTCCGGGGAAGTTCTGTAAAAACTTTCACTCCTTCTAAGGGCAGGAACGAAACGGAGCATTTGGTTATCTACACATTAGGAATTGAAAATCCTTCTTATTATTATTGTTCAGTAATGGACGGTGGAACTTGAGGTAAGACTTCAATTACTCCTTTTTCAGTAGTCAAATTTCACAAAGTTTTTGGGAAGTCAGCTGCTAGTGTTTGAATAAGTGAGGCTATAATACATAGAAAGAACGTCTGGATTTTTCGAAGGCGATAAATTATTTAATCTCGAAATCATACCTAGTTCAACCTTTTCCCTCTTTTGAGCCTCTACGGAGAGGATTGCTACTAGGCAGAGAACCTGAAGTACAATTTTGCAAAAATATACCTAACGATTATGAAAATAAGTATTTTTGTAAAGCAAACTCACCACAGCAATAAGAAGTCTGTTCATGTTTTGATGTTGATAAACCTTTAGAAGATTCTACGCTAGTTGTTTACCGCAGCCGCTTTTTATAGGCTGACCCAGCGAAACGACGAAACGCCTGTGTAACTTCCGTCTCCACGGTATTTTCCGACGATCTTTTGTTCTTCACATCACACCTGCATTTTTAACCTTGAACATATGCTCGTATGCTAACTCATCAGCTATGTATCATTACGACGATCTTCGAAATGTAGCAAACCTGGCTACGATCTATGGTGTAGTTTTGGCGAAGAGTATTATACCGAGCAGTGGGTTCGCTAAACATTAGTGATGCTATTTCGATTCCAGACATAATGACCTTAATGACTAATCATTAAGGTCATTGTCTATGTTTTGGGTTGGCAACTAAGTTTTGCAGCTTCACTTTTCCCTTAACTATCTATTATGGTTAAAAATTTCGTCGAACGAACGTATCGAATAATCTGCTTTTAAAAAATATTCGAACCAACGATATTATTCGATTTGTGATTTTCAGATTATTTGAATTTATTTTAACATGCTACATTTCAAAATTCGAATGAAGAATATTCGGATAAATGGAGTTGTCGAATATTTGACTATTTGGATGATCGAATAATTACATGTGGTCGAATATTCAATTGAATATGCATTCATTTTTCTGGCTCGAATTCGAGCGCGGATAAGGACATTTTAGATATCTAGCTCTTAGATGTGATAGAGATTGTCTACATTATGCACGTTTTACTGTCTTTTTAGAATTAGTTTAGAAGGAGATATCAGTGCTTTGATATAAGTAGTCATTTGTTCATTCTGTGGCCTATAAATTTCTTTAGGACAAGGCAATCGCCAAAGCTTTGCTCATTTTTTAAGCGTAAAGATAGGCCTCGTATTGACAATTTTTGCAGAAACGGTCAGCCCTTCAGTGCGCAGAAAATTAAAAAATTCCACAACTCGGGACTTTTAGGCCTGCAAAAAAATGTTTAAAAAAGCTAATAATTTTGGATTTCAATATTTTCTTTTCCCAAATCTTTTTTTCAAACCCTTTCTATCTTATTTTGTAATGTTGACTTGCGGTTGCAAGATGGACTACTTACCATATATATTGACACCCTCTAAGGGAATTTATGATTAGTTAAATACAAGGTTTCAGAAATGAACTTCTTTGTTTATCAACCCATTTTTTTCTGCCCATTTGCTTTATGAGTATAGGATAATGTGCGCTACATTGGGTAAGGTTTGCTGCCTCTGATTGTCTTTAACTCGTTGAAGAATCTAGACTTAGAAGTTATGGCACGTCAAAGTGAGAACTCGCAAAACGCGCATTATTTTTGCACCAACCCCATTATATCTTAACGCGCTGCGCAGGCTCTCTATATCCGGTCCGTGCTGTTAACAACCCGACAATCACTTGTAGTATACACACTGTTGAACTGTATAGGTGCTACACAACACTCGAATCGGCACTAATGGCAAAAAGCAATCTTCCACTTATTGGCAGTGCAATAAGCTAGACCGTTGCTGGAAATACTATTCCAATGACTCGTTCTACCATATCCCTGCTCTCACACTACAACAAACGACGAACTTCTTGATTTAACAGTAGTCGTTCCGGTCACTAGTGGAATTCGTTTAAGTACGCCGTCAGTTCTTTCTTATGATCTCGATCGGAAATAACGCTGCGAGATATCACGAACATCTTCACGTTCACGTGCACATATACCGCGTTTTCCAAATGCGAAGAAAGAACAGCGTGCACTAGACCTCAGGCTCATCATCAAAATTCATAACAAGTCAATTTCCTAAGTTTTGGTGCTTCTTGAAAGGTACGCAAAACTTCATTGGAACATCAAGAAATTCTAGGGTTAATAGTAATCTAGTCGAAACTCACAGTTGTAACTCTGACTTAACTCTAGGTTATATCTGAGCTAACGCACCTTTCTTACCTTCTTAACAAGTGCTTGAATGGTCCGTATGTAGAAAGCGATTAATGGCAGAAGGCTCCGTAACTACTTACCCCCCCCCCCCCCCCTAGTAGGGAAACATCGTCGAAATTGGTTCTGCACAAGAAAAACAGCGCTACCAAAATCGCAGCTGTGCTTTGCGATAATTCTGAGTTGGGGCGCGTTGCAGCCTATCGTGGACAGAGATAACTCTGTGTTTGCTCAGAGAAAAAGAAATAGTGTACAAAAGAAGAGGGCAGCTAAACGGTCTGATTGCATTTTGCTTGTAGTGTCAGCAGGCATGATGGGGGATGTCGTGGTGCGCCGTTATCTATAGAATTTTGAAATCTTTAAAACCTTTATTCAGGAGTCATTCGGGGCACTGATCACGAATATGGTGCTCTTTTGTCACGTTGGGGTCAAAAAGCCGGGTTACGGTGGGTTTACGGTAGACAGGAGAAAACCAGAGAATTGGCCGAAACTTGGACCGGTGGGGTTATTCGGCGCGCTGATCACGATTATGTCTTCAATTTATACCGCGTTGGCATCTGGTAAGGCTGGGGTAGGTTTGCTTTAGTAAGTTAGAGATGCAGACTCAGCCGCTGCATTGGGGTTATTCGGGGAGTAGATCACGGACAGTCTTTCTGTTATGTACACTGGTGTCATTTGGAGCTATCACGATAGGTATAAGTAAGCGGGACAAAGTCACGAACATGGCTGAAATTCGACCCGGTCAGGTTTTGCCGCGCCAGCCACAAGTTAACAAAGCCTTCTTGCGGCGGTGCCAACTAGCGGGATACGATAGGCAGACTAAAAGTAGGCCAAGTCATAGAAAAAAGGCAAACTTTGCCCGGAGGGTTTATTGTGTGCGCAAATTCTAAAAATCCATTCTTGTCATTGCGTATGCCATCCGTTCTTTCCATTGCTTAAAGCTTTCAGTTGTGCAAAAGACCAATCCGTGCGGTAAACCATCACGTCTTGCCAAAAATGAAATGAGTGAGGCTTTGATTTATGTTTTGACAAGCTTTGTGTTGAAGCAACGAATACATCATGGCAAAGCAACTTTGAAGTTCAAAGAGTGTGTCATGACTTAGCGGTTTAATGATAGAATTATTACGCTAGTCCGAACAGTCAGTTTTGAGTCCCAGCTCGAACGTAGCTTTTGCGGTGACGTGCATAACAGCTCCTCAAACAGCATACTGGAACTCCGACTTGAGAGATGAAACTCGAAACTTTCAAAGAACTCAGAGTTTCGTTGAGCAAAACTCTAAGTCCGAGTTGACTCGGAGCACAGTGGGCAAAGTGAACATAATACTTGCATTTAGACTGTTATAAGCAGTCACGGTGGAATTTCGACGAAGTATGCGATCTTTACATTTTGGGCAAAATGCATGAGGATGTGTCTTCGTAGGCTTGTAACTCGGCGATTTCTATATACTGGATCTTGAGTCATGCACCATTCAATAGCACATTTCCTAGCAGCTTTGACTTAGAAAAGCAAGCAGGCAAGTTTTTCGACAGATACGCGAGAATTGAAGACGAAGTTACGAACTCTTGTGACTCAGTTACAGTTACCTCACCATATCTCTGCAGAATGGCCCTACTTTACAGAGAACACGATTTTCATAAGCGTGTTCGAATACCTCTATAAGCGGAGTTTCCTTCCAAACCAGTATCATCAACTCGACCAAAAACCCACTGGCGAGCTTCAGAACATGAAACGAGAAAAGATCAAATAACCCGAAGTTCTCTGGAAACTTGCTCATAGGGGTTATCCGACTTGCTGATTACAAAACTCATATCTGCTTAGCAAGATAGCTTTTAATCTAGGGTTAAGACGAGTAGAATTTGAGACGTCAAGATTTTTTTTACAATTTACCAGCCCTTCTATCTTCATTGGAAAGACGCATGTGACTACCTTTGAGCGCTCCATAGTCTACAAAAGAAGTACTATCGAATGGTCCTTGCTGGAGTCTAAGGGGCAATGCGCGCTGCTTCACACTTTTGCGAAAAAGCGTTCACAAAAAGATAAAATACTGAAATCGGAATATCAAGGACATGCTGTACATGGAAAGATTTGCTTTGATGAACTGAGCACAAAGCTTTTCTCGGATTCGGATTATATTCATTCCGAAGGAAGTTACGGCGAGTAGAATTTAGAAACGCGTGATTTTTCCAAAATTCACCAACGCTTCTACCTCTTTTGAAAGATAAGCTGCAGCTACTTATGAACGCACGATAACCTACAAGAATAATACTATCGAATATTGCTTACTGGAATCTTTTATGTTACACAGACGCTGCGTTAAATCCTTGCGAAAGGACCCCCACAGGAAAAATTTGAGAAAACAGAAAACGGAATATCGAGGGAATGCTGTACATCAAAAGATTTGCCTCGACGATCTGAACACAATGCTGTTCCGGATTTAGAATATATTATTTCAATAAAAGCTATGACGTTGCGTATTCTGCGTGATTCCCACGGTTCCGCGGATCCTGGAATGTCGCGAACTTCCCGGAATATCGCGGACTCTGGCGGAAATCCCGGGATTCCGCGAAGTCTACGGAAGTTTTGCACATTCTGTGAGCGGTATTGTGATCTTGAGCAGATTTTAGAACAAATTCGATCAGAGTGACTCTCTACCATACTCCTAGAGTATACTTTCGTGTCATCAGCGAAAAATCAATGACAATGTTATCAAAACACTGAACACCAACCAAACAAAACTCTGCGAAATTGGCGAAAATTATCGCCTACCGTATGCGTATCGTATCTCTCTAGATTGTGCGACTCTTATATACTAGATGATGCGTCTCGCCGAGCTGAATCGAACGGTGTCCGATTCAGTATTCGTCCATTCTGAAGAGAGATGCGGCGATGCGAGCGGATTCCGACGGACTCTAGTGATCTGCGGCGCACTCTGCCGCACTCCGGCGCACTGCAGTGCACTTCAGCGGACTGCGGTGCGCCGGAGTGCGGCAGAGTGCGCCACTAGTGGCGGATTCTAGTGGACTGCGTTGCACCCGGCGGAGTGCGCCGCAGTCCGGCGACTTTTTTGACGAATCATGAGCGGTATTGTATCTGAAAAGTTTCGAGATAGTATGCACAAGCATCGGAAAATGCATACCATTCACGCATTTGCCAGAAATTTCCGCAAAAACTTGTTTGAGACTTTTCAAAGATTGCCAAATTGTGATTGGCATCAAGTTTGCTAGTCCTACATCTCTGTGAAATATCTTATCAAAATCTATCCAACAAAATTCCTTTCTGTCATAAAAAATAGGTAAAGTGTTATTAATGTATATGTGTGGCTAGTAGTAACCGTTCCTGCTTATATAAAACTACACAATATTCAGCAAAAGACTGGGTTCGGGTGTAACCCACTGAGGG